TTGATTCGGGCCTTCCCCTCCAATGCGCTGTAGGCTGCCGGGGGGGAACCGGACCGGTCGACCGGCCGGTCCCACCGGCCCGGTTCCGGTTGGGGGTGGACCCCCCGGTCGGACCGGGAATTTAGCACTGATACAGAGTACATTTCAGGCATCATACAGATCCGAAGGAAGATCGATGGATCTCAAGGGAGGAACTTGTCAAGACAGCTCCTCAAATCGTGGCAGACTATAAGAAGAGGTTAAAAGGGAAGGCACCAGCATGAAGCATCTCAGCGGACTTTCGAAGCTAAGGGGGATGGAATGTGAGGAACAAGCCCTGGCCCTATCAGACATCATATTGTTCTGTGCTCAGGCCCCCAGCAAGCCAAGTGCCCACCCTAAGTGAAGGCGGGCCTGAATATTCGTCAAAGGCAAATTTCGACATTTCCATATGGGCTATTCAGGCTCTCGCAGCACGCCTGTTGGTTGGGAAGACGCGTGAGCCTCACATTGTTGCGGCATACAGTTGGCCCAGGCCTTGACAGTTACGCCTCGGCACACTTACACAAAGCAGGGCCGATACATTGGGAAGGAGGCCTTTGGCCTTTGCAAAAGGAGTTGTGCGAATGCACCTGCCCGGGAGCCATGCACAGATGTCGCAAACAGCCCAAGTCCAGAAGACTCAAGCCGTGCCCAACTGAAAAGGGCCCAGGCCCTCAACTGTAAGTCTCGGGCCTGGGCACAGGGTCTGAGGCCCAACCGGAAGCTACTGGAAGCTTCCAGCCAGGCCACACACAGCATCCAGCAGGCTGACACTTCCATAAAGGAAGTGAGGCAGCCGAGGCCAGGCATTCTGGCCAGTGTCAGCTATGCGGAAGTGCTGCTGCGCTCTCGCTTGATGCTGCGCTGCTGCCAAGGGCGCTGACGGGGCGCAAGAGGTGAGGTGGGGCGCTGCAGGGCAGCGGGGCGCAGGCGGCCATAGCCGGGCTGCTAGGCGCCAGGGGGTACAGCGGATGATCGGGTGGTCTTCAGGGAGTGAGGCGCTGTATGGGGTAATCAAGGTCTGACTGAGGGTGACGAGAAATGTACCTGGTACATGAAGAGAGGCTGGCGATGGTGTTGGCAGTCATGTACATTGGTCTTCGAGAGTTGAAGTGATCCTGTTGCGTGAACCAGCTGTAGAGTAGGCTAGTGTGGTAGGGTAGGCTGGGCGCTGGGCGCCAGACAGAGAGAGCAACTCTGGATACTGTGTTGGTGTGGCCTACGGGCTTGGAAATTGACTCATTTCTTCATTGTATTGCTCTTTATGGATGGTTTTCTCGGTGCATTTGTACTCTCTGCTTGGGACACGACTACTAGTTCAGCTGTGTGATTTCGCAACTTGGTTTTATGTATATCGCTCACACTCATATTCCTTGCATGTTAAGCGAGATCTAGGCAAGGTTTCACAAAGTTTTGGCTTGAAAAAAAAATGCGATCTTGAAAAAAAATTTGCACGAAATAGAATGGAGGTTCCACTTTCAGAGAAGAATAGATCCAGTTTCCGAGAATATGACAACCTCCCTAGTTCACCTAATATGCCCGGAGTGAAACAAAAAAAAAAAAATAACGAAATGCTAATATCCGAATTTCCGGAGATCTGTTGCGAAAAAAAATAAAAACATTTGCAGAGATTTGACGAAGCCCTACTTGATTAACTAATAATCAATCAATCAATCAATCAATCAATCAATCAATCAATCGGTCAAACAAGCAAGCTGGCTCCTTGATTGGGCGGATCCTCTGATTGAGAGGTCCGCTCCGATACCACACTGTCACATACCGTAACTGTGCAGACCAGAATAAGAACCGACCTCTCTCACGTAGTACAGGATAGCGCAGTGGAAGGCTAAATACCAATGATCAGACCAATCAATGTCGCAATATAGACCAAACATACATCATCATCATCATCGCAAGGTGTGAAGGGGCCTGGCGCTACACACAGGAAGAATGCGCCAGGCTCCGATCATGCACAGATGAAAGGAGGGGGATCAGACGAAGATGGGGGAGAAGATGAGAATGTCGCCAACACCAATGTCTCCGTCCCAAGGTTGAGTCTGTATCCAAATGTCGTCAACATCCCAAATTCACAAATCTCTCTCTCTCTCTCTCTCTCTCTCTCTCTCTCTCTCTCTCTCTCTCTCTCTCTCTCTCTCTC